CACACACACACACACACACACACACACAAAAGCAAGTTGTATCAACATTGAGATGCAAGAGAAATAAATGATTCTAAAACTGAAGCCTGTAATCTACGTCTGCTTAATTCAAATCGAAAGAGGGACTGAGTGATTTATTTGAAAGGATATGTGGTTCTTATTGAGTGTCAGGGTGTGGAGGTTGGGTAACCTGGGCAACCGCAGGTCATTTCCAAGCAGATTGTTGTCGACGACTAGCTCTTCCAGCTCAGTGAACACTTTGAGGCCCGCCAGTGACCTGCAATGACAAGGCAACAGGAAAACTGTTATGGCTCTACATCTGGACGGATGCTACAGTGCAGGAATAAATATTTCAGCCTCCCTCTTTCAAACGCAGCGAGAGTAAGGGTCCGGGGGCCTGTCAGGGAAGTGAATGACAAGAATTAGTGGTGCTGAGCTCCCCTGGCATGGTGAGGCATCGTTCAGCGGCTGGCAGGATGAGGGATGGGGGTCACTTGTGAGTAGCCAGGATTCAAAACAAAAGGCTTCAGAAATGCGGCGGGCAGGATGAATTTGTCAATGTCTTGTGCCTTGAGGCGCCCAGTTTCGCCTGACCCTAACCCTCCATTCCCAAGACAAATCACTCTGTCACAGTTCACCTTCACTCCCCAGACACAAATTTAACTTGTCATCCATCATTTTCACAGAGGAACCGGAATACACTCGCAATCACACATAGAATGGAAAGGAAACTTCTCTTTTTTGTGTGCAACTGTGCCGCAATAGGGGTTAGTTTTGAGATTTTAACATCAAACGGCTTCTATTTATTTTATTTTTGAGATAAGGAATTCTGCACTTCCGCTGCGTTTTATGACACGCTGTTCAGAGAGGTGAGGGGTCATCTCAACTCCTTCCCTCTCCGTCTCTCTCCCACACATACACATTCACACGGGCATAAAAATGATGGAGGGCGCTGCGAGGAGTAATGTGAGGGCCCTGCAAAGTTCAATTTATAGAAGGTGCACAGAGGCGAGTGTGTGTGTGTGTGTGTGTGTGTGTGTGTGTGTGTTGTTTAATCCTTCACACTGTCAGAACGCCATGTTTGAGTGTCCTAGTTGACCTTATTGACATTTAAATCTATGACACACCTCTCAGGAACTATTTCTCACAACACTTATTTTAACCCGTTTTTTTTCTTTCTAACCCTAACCCATCTAATTACATTACTTTTATATTCCAGGCTGAATTTTTGTTAATCATACATTATAAATGTGTCCCTAGTTTTAAAAGCAGATAACCTTGACAGTAACTATCATTAATTCCAGTGAACGGTGTCATATTGACAGACTCCAGGTACAGTGAGGCCTGAACAGCTGCGGCATGAACTATTGCTCCTCGCTGGATCTGCCTTGTGTCATAATACACAGCAACTTAGAGCAATGTAAATATAATACCTTTATTATGACAATCTGCAAATGCAGAGCAATGATGGAAAACAAACAATGAAGGAGAGACTGCATATTGGCAAAAAAAATGCTAAAAAGATGCTGAGCAGTTGGAAAAATATGTAATGCAGCAAAATACACATTATTCCTATCAGATCTTAACTTGGCCAACTAATTCGTCACTGAGTAGCCATGACGTGTGTACGTTTATGCAACACTTTTAATGAGATGGATTGAGTTTCTCTCTTTTACGACCGATGAGCTTGGACTCCACCTTGACGTTCTCCCTGATCCAGAAACCCGCACAGACACGAGCAGCGAACATGCACTGGCAGCAACTTTGAACTACAAAGCCAAACGACAAATCAGCGATTCATTGTTGACGTGCAAGCGAGGCGGACCGACGCATTTCAAAAGAAACATTTTGCCAACGCACACACACACACGTATACTTGATTCCCATAAACAGCAGCTAACAACAGCACCTAGCCGGTGTGCTTGCAAAGCTGCTGGCTGACAAGCTCTTATCAGGTCTGATTAATGCACTGGCAAGATGGATGAACAGAGAGATGTGCCAGTTTTATGAAATCCTACTCTGTTGCTTGTTGTTTTTTTTCCCCCCATGTTGCCTCACATTTATTAAAGCAAGGCCCATTATGATACAATATATACTTAACACCACACAGCCTGTTTGTCAGTGTGTCAAATTTACTGTTGTTTGCTAGGATTTGTTAAAACATAAACAAGAATGTTCTTTTATGTCCAAAGTAAAATGTAAAAAACACACAAGTATAAGTGTGTATAAGTATTGGCTGGATTTTGGTAGAACATGCAATTATTCTGCAAGTATAATCTACGTTAATGCGTAGTTGGGAAGGAATGTGCACCGCAATGGATTAACATTATTTTATTTGTTGTTAACAGAGGTTTGCTAACTAACTATTGCCACCTGTGTGTGTGTGTGTGTGTGTGTGTGTGTGTGTGTGTGTGTKCGTGTGTGTGTGTGTGTGTGTGTGTGCATGTGCATGATGGGCTGCAGTCCTGTGGGTGATGTTATTAGCTGCTCGGTTAAAGGGAGCCGCATGGCACAGGGGGGAGCCTTATTAATTGTTGTTTTCATGTCACCACTGCTGCGTGCACTGGCTGATTTAATCAGTTAAATTCACAGCCAGGGGAGAGCCACTGAGTCCCATCCAGCATTAACTACAGTGCAGGGATTGAACTTCTAATACTCTCCAGCTTTCTGTGCTCCCTCTGCAGATTTCCATAGCTGGTTTCATTACTTTTTATAAGCTTTCTTGTTTTAATGTGCGGCTTGGAAAACTAACAAAGTTTAAGCAGTGCAGTAAAAGTACTTCACTTAAAAAAAAAAAGAACAGCATTTGCTTTTAACAAAACTAATGAGCATAATTGACTTGAGTCCCAATGCTCTATGATTTAGTAGCACAGGCACAACACGTGTATCATTAACAAAGACTAAATAAATGGGATATGTTTTGTTTCAAAAAAAGGACCGGAAATTATTTACGCTCACATCATACTGCATCACGTCCCTTTGCATATTTAGAAAAATGTGATGTCTACAGTAACGCAAGATCAAATGGTATCAGCTTAAACCTTTTACTAACAAGAGAGCGAGAGACAGAGATGGAGAGAGGCGATAGCTTTAACGAGGTGAGGCGATGAATCCTCTCCTTGTTAAGATAATTATGATCAGCCTCATTGTCAGAGCTAATACTTCACATGGGGCTGTCTTTACACTTTGACTACCACTTAGCCCGTGTAAGCTCACCATCATACATCACACGGCCCCGTGTGCATCAGCGTGTGTGAGCACATGCATGTGCACAAACCCCTATTATCCACTAACATCCTGTCTGCTGAACACACAGTGCATGTACCAGTACATGGTTAAAGGGAGCAGAGGCTCAGCACAGGATGCAGGGGGAGGATGTGAGAAAGCAGACAAGGACACTGGAGAGGAGACACCGACCCAGAGAGCAGTCCTGCCAGATCAATACACTGATACTAATGCAGACATAGTGATTGATAAACCACTGCTGACAACAGAGGGAAGAAAACTCTCGACCGTTATTGGCTGAAATGTCAGTCACTCCTGTCCATGGTGTGTGCGTGTGCCATGTCAGATATCCTCAGGCAGCAAATGAAAATGGCAGCCTTGGCTCTTTTACATGTGATACATTGTCTCTGCTCTTATGTCTGCTGCATTTCAAGCTACATCAATCATAGTTGGCAATTTTTAGAAACACAGGTCAAATTGGGAGTTTGTGTAAGTTGTACATTAGAGCGTCAACGTGAAACAACCTCAAAGCCTTCTCCTTTTTCTTAAAGATTGATGGTGATCACAGAGGAGACATCCCCGCAGCTACCACTGAAATGCTAGAAAAGTTTCTTAGACTAACGTATATAAAAAACCCACACAAACACTTTGAAAAGCTGGAGAGCCCCTGCAGCTGTAATCACAGTTAAAGGCCTGATGCCCTCTCAAAGGTCGCAGCGGTGCAGAGAGGCAATGTGCTGTTATTCTAAACTGGGGGCCAGAGCTGCAGAGCGACAGGCGCACTGACGTCCCGTTCAGAGGGCAACAGATAAATGTTTGATGAATCGACCAATACTGGGGCTGTGATGGCCTTCATATGTGCATAATGGACTATTCAGAGTACACTTCTGATTGCCTGCCAGGATAAGGTACTGTAATGAAGGGGAAAAAGATCTGGACCTGAGAAACCCAGTGTGTGGACTGGCTTTAATAAACTTAATAAGAGAGGTTAGTGGAGGCGGGTCGGCTGCACAGGGAGATGGATGCTGGGAGAGCCAGTCAGCTTGAAATAGTGAAGAAATATTCTGATGGCTCTTTGAACAGCAAAATATCCTTCAGTCTAAATCGGTAATTCACTGAATTATAAATATTACCGAATCCCCCATATTCTTGATGTCTCAAACAATCAACGTGAGCGAGTAGACGTTATTTTAACCGTTTCCAAAACAAATACACTTACTTTAAGAATCAAAGCTAAATAACATGTAGAATATTCATAGTTATATATCATGTAATTATAATCACACAACAGCACCAACTTAGGAAATTGATCCAATTCTCATATGTTTTTCTTGTTTTATCAGAGAATAGAATTGAAATGGAATAAAGTGGTGGTTAGAGTGAAAAATGCAGTATGACATCTGATATTCAGTTAAATAACAACAATGAATCAAAAATAACCCATTAATACAAAAATGTGCCGCTATTTGAACGCAGCTGTATTTCATCACTCTTACCATTTAACAAATACACAAATAAACATCAAAAAAATGCCAAATGACAGCATCAAAACACTATCAGGATTAGCTCGTCGTAAATAAGACGACATTATCTGTAAAGCAAATTAATGCCCTGCAACCCTCCGAGCCCCCAACATCATCCCTCCTTCCACCTCCACACTGCAGCACTGATCAGGTCTGTTCCAGCACTCTCCCCTCCAGCTACAGTTTATGGCCTATACACGTCTGCATACATGCATCTCTGATGGCGACGGTGAATTAGACTGTCATTATCTGTCTCTATCTCCCCCACAGCTCTCCCCCTTTCTCACTTCCCCTCCCCATCTCCCCCTTGCGCAGGCCGTCATTGCTCAGTGTGGCACTCCTCTCTCTGTATTGCCAGGCCTCAGGTGGCAGTCATTTAAAGATCACACGTTCAGGACACACACTCACTGCCTGAATGCATGTCAATTCACACATGGGAAGGGGATTACACATCTCCTCCCAGGCAGCTGCAAATTACTATTAATGGCAATGCAAATCATTAGAGTACGTTTGGCGCCGCCAGCAAATC